ATTTCCTGAGATCATTGTTTCTCAATTGATTTTTGCAACATATTTTGATCATAAAAATTTTTAATTTTATTTAAATAAATCTATCTTCTTACTTCTGAGATTATGGCTTTATTTAGTGGGTTTGCTCACCTGTGAATGTTATATGTAGTTTCCTTGATGTTCTGCTATATTGTATGGTTACACTTACACTGGGGTCATAATCCCTCTGAATTTTTGTGAAGTGTCTGAGGAGGGGACCAGTTGCATATTCTTCCAGATAGATATCCATTGCTGCCAGCACTGGTTTAGATATTCATTTATTCTAGCTGTTATATAGCAATTCAATCTTTTCCAACCAAACCCGAAATAAAACCTTGCCTAATGGCCAATGTCCTTATACATTGAGACCTAATTTCTGACTCATTTAACAAATAAAAACTGAGCATTCTAGGAACATTATATATATTTTTTCATGTGTAGGCCATTGACAATTTAATTATGAATCCATGTTGATATCCTTAATAATTTCTTTTCTATAGCCAATTTCAGTTAGTTTTTATGTTTCACATAATTTTGCTGTGGACAGTTGTTTTCAAACTACTCATTTTAACGTGGTTGCATCATCCCTTTATTTTTTTCATTCTATAATTTTTCATATCCTTGGGTTTTTCATATTAACCATATAGTGACATACATTTGTGACAAAAACAAAAGTGAACAAAGAAGGTGAAATCCGTTCACTAGCGTATGTTTCTGCGTAGCACCAAGGACAGAGAACAATAATATAAATATACGGATGGCATCATGCGGTCAAGCATAATCATATGAAACAAGTTATTTGGTACGAAACTGGACTGTCGTGATGTCGGGAGCATTTACAGAGCATGGTCTGGGGAAGCCTCTGTCCACTGGCTGACATACAGAATGAGGATTCGAGGTGCCCCTTGGGTTTGTGAAAAAGAGACCAATACCCAGAGTCCAAGAGTATCAATGAGAGGACATCACAGAGGGATGGGAGATGAGCACCTGGGTGGCTCAGTGGGTTAAGAGACGTCTTCTTGGTTTCGGCTCAGCTCAGATCTCACCGTTCATGAGATCCAGCCCCTTGTTGGGCTCTGTGCTGACAGCATGGAGCCTGCTTGGGACTCTCTGTCCCTCCCCTGCTTGTGTGCTTGCTCTCTCTCTCTCCCTCCTCCCCTGCTTGTGCTCTCTCCCTCTCTCCCTCCCCTGCTTGTGCTCCCTCTCTCTCTCTGAAAGAAATAAACATTAAAAAGTGAAAGGGATAACAGGGCTGCCCTCACCTGCTGTCAGCCCCCATGAAGACGAATTGCCCAAGTAATGATGCCAGAGGCACGTGAAAGCGAAGTCTTCCGTGGTTGACCTTGTAACTGCGCACCTTGCAGCCAATCGCGTGCACTTCCTTTTGTGAAGTGTTGGCTTATCCCTTCGCTCATTTTTTCCCTTGGGCCCTCCATATGTAAGGTGTTTGACATTAGGAAGATATCGGCACTTTCGTCTTTGGGGGCAGTTAAATGTGTTCTCACATAGTTTTTGCTGGGCATCAGGGGAGGTGGTCAGGTGCAAAGCTTCCAGAAGCGAGGGAGGTTACTGTTTGTCACAATCCCTCGGGGACCCCCTGAGCTTACTGCATCCTTGTTCTGTTGTCCTAGACTCTGGGTCTTTTCTAGCAAGAGAGGGGACACAGGATTGTAATGCAAGAGAGGCAAATGTCCAGGAGGAGATAAGAGCCCCGAGTAAGGGTCCTTGCTCTGTTTTCATTAGGATCAGGAGGCTTACAGGTGTGATGGGTGGGCACAGAGACAATGGAACCGTCAACATTAACTCATGGGAGTGGGGGAAGCTGGGGTTTGAAGACGTGTGGTGTTAGGGGTTTGGGTCAATGCAAAACAAATCCTGGTGCCAGGCAGATGGTTGTTTACAGCAGACATGAGGTGCCACCTCTGTTTACCTAAACTGGCCTAGGGCGCAAGCCAGACAGAGCAGGCTACCTGAGGGTCTACAAGGCACCTTTCTTTTGCTAATTAGCTCCCTTTGGGGCAACTTCCCCTTGCTGAGGTCTACAACCCTGTTTATCCATTTACCTAATTTTAGTCCTTCCTTCCTGGGAAAGCAGCTTTCTGCTATTGTATTCAGTTGGGGGGTGTTTCTGCCCTGAATACCTAAACTTTTTACCTCATTTTGGATACTTCTGTCCTGAGATTTCCTATTCCTATACTTTTGTCCTATACTGGGACCTTTGCCCTGTTTACCTAATGTTGGATGCCTTCATCCTGTGGCTTCTCTTTCTTTATGCCTTAACTCATCAGTGCAAGCTCAGAGAACTCCTAAGCTTATTCTCCACACTCTGCCTCATCCATTTCATTCACCATCCCTCTGTCTTTCCACTTATTAAACATAAGTTTGTGAAATACACAACAGGAGATGGCTATCCCAACATGGAGCTTCAACCTCATTTGCCCATGGGAGGCTTAGGAATTAACACTTCCAGGAACCACTTCTACATTTTTCAGGGGAAAGATCGCTGATCTGGTCTATTTGGGTTGTATCCATTCCCAGCGTAACCTGGATGGCGGGGGCTGTAAAGACAGGGATTACACAACCCAGAAGACCACGGTGTCTTGTGCATGTGTGACTTGTAGAGGGTGAGCAGTCCTCACAACAGGGGCCAGGACTCCTAATCTCAAGGTGACACAATACACAGACCAGAACTCAGTCAAGAGCAGGCACCAAGATGGGGATCTGTGTCAATTCATGGGATGGCTTTGCAGCACGCTGAATACAGAGGGAGAGGTAGTGTGGACAAGAACAGCCCTGTGCCTTAAGGTCACAGTAGTAGCAGAGAGATCACTTCCTTCATCACATGTCTGACAGCATCTGTCATCAGTGTCCCTCAGGCTCATTCCCCTTGTAGCGCCGGCTTCCCTTTTTGATTTGAACACTTGAAACAAGTACATTCCTCAGGGCCTTTGCACTGGCCATTCCCTCTGCTGGGCACATTTCCCCCATACCTCCACATCTACCTCTCTGTCTTATCAAGGTCTGTGTTCCAATATCACCTTGTTGCACAATTTGCCCAAATACCTGTAATAGGTCAACTTATAAGATATCAGAAAGCTTATTGTATATAAGTTTGGCTTAAACTCACCTTTCATGAATAATTGAGATAAAAGCTTATATAGTTCCCTATTAGGGTTATTGGAAATTACTAACCGCCCTATCTCGATTTCATAACTTCGCCTGCTTGCTAAATGGATAACTTAGGTTGCAAAACGCTCCCCTATCCCTTCTACCAAGATCTGGCCTAGGCAAGACCAACATGTAAAAAGTCACGAACTCACTGCCCCACGGTATCTTAGGGCAAACATAGCTAGCCTCCTGTAGCCTGGGAGTAAACTATGACCTATGTAAGCTTAGAAGGACCCCAGAATATGAGATGCTGAACCAGTGTTTGTTTTGGGCTTTCCCATCGCTTCTCGGCCTTTTGGCTAAGATCAAGTGTTTTGGGCTTTCCTAGAAGTGCTGTTCCTGTTCCCTAGATATTAGTTCTGCTTAAAACCACATTTGCTGAGTTACTGAGAAATAAAACTTCCTCTTAACTGCTTGTTTGAGCTTTTGTAAACCTGCTTGGCATAATCACCCTTCCCCATTCTCAGGCACCGCATCCTGTTCGAACTAGATATAAGATTAATATTGTAAACAATGTGATTCAGCATTCAACTAGCTAGGTCAACAAGTTATATTTTGAAATTCTTCAGGACTGTGTGATTGGTGCCCGTCTTATATTTTAAAAACCTACAACATTGTGTGATTGGTGCCCACCCTTTCAAACTGCCACCCTTGTGCAACCCGATTGGTCGATACAGCCCTTATAAGACATCCCCAAAGTTTGTTCGGGGCCAGACTTTCGGGACCTGCTGTATTTCCCTGTCTGGCCCAGCCGTAATAAATGTGTTTTGATCCTGTTTTTGCTGTCTGGAGTTCATAAGCGATTGCAACTTACAACAAGGTGTCTAACTTTGGTCATTTTAAACCCCCTTAGGACAAAAAACTTTAAATTGATAGGTTACCACCAAAACTAACGTCTGTGTGTCACAATATAATTGGCTACCATGAGATGTTGTAAATTGTAATTGGTTAACTAAATAATGACGTATTATGACTTGCTAAAATCCATATAAGCTCACTGCTACTTTTGTTCAGGGCCATTCTCTGCACTTTTCTCCTTAAGATCAGATCAGGTTTGGCCCAGCCGTGAATAAAATCTTGCCTCGCTTCTATTCAGCGTCTGGTGGTTTTTTTCGACAGCACCCTGTTTTAATACCCACAAAAATGGAATGCCCTATTTGCTTTGTTTTATGCCTGTTTTTCTTCTCTTCATAACACTCCTCACCATCTAAAAAGTTATACAATTCTCTTATTTGCTTATATTTTTTCTCTATCATTGTAGGACTTTTTTTCTTTAACACCTTATGCTCATTCCTTAGATAGTGCCTGACACATGGTCAGCACTCAATGTATATTCCTGAAATTCTTGAAGAGCTTCTTAGTAAAACTGTAAAATATATGATCCCTTAGGAAAGAAGCTGATTGAAAAAAACACACAGAATGTATCAGATATGTCCGAGTGCATTCCTGAAGGGGACCGTATCCACATACAACATATTAAAATGAATTTCTGGACTCCAAACTATAAAGGTAGTATTTCAATTCTGTGAGTAATGAAGGTTTGTGTGAAATGTACTCATGTCATTTCCTTCTTTCCAAGAAGCCACCTCCACCACATGGAACTGAGCAACAAAACACGAATTTCAGAATTTTTTCTTCTGGGATTTTCAGAAGAACCAGAACTGCAGCCCCTCATATTTGGGCTTTTCCTCTCCATGTACCTGATCACTGTGTTTGGAAACATGCTCATCATCTTGGCCGTCAGCACAGACCCCAACCTCCACACGCCCATGTACTTCTTCCTGGCCAACCTGTCCTTTGTAGACATTTGCTTCACCTCCACCACCGTCCCGAAGATGCTCTGGAACATCCAGACCCAGAGCAAAGTCATAACCTATGAGGACTGCATCACACAGATGAACTTCTTCATAATCTTTTCAGTGTTGGATGACTTTCTCCTGAGTGTGATGGCCTATGACAGGTTTGTGGCCATCTGTCACCCCCTGCAATACACGGTCATCATGAACCCCCGGCTCTGTGGACTCCTGGTTCTGGTGTCCTGGATCATGAGTGTTCTGTATTCCTTGTTACAAACCTTAATGGTATTGCGGCTGTCCTTCTGTACAGAGGTGGAAATCCCCCACTTTTTCTGTGAACTCAATCAGATGATCCAACTTGCCTGTTCTGACACCTTTCTTAATGACATGATGATGTATTTTGCAACTGTGCTGCTGGGTGGTGCTCCCCTGGCTGGGGTCCTTTACTCTTATTCTAAGATAGTTTCCTCCATACGTAGGATCTCATCAGCTCTGGGCAAGTATAAGGCATTTTCCACCTGTGCATCTCACCTCTCGGTTGTCTCCTTATTTTATTGTACTGGCCTGGGAGTGTACCTCAGCTCTGCTGCTACCCAGAGCTCCCACTGGAGTGCCACAGCCTCGGTGATGTACACGGTGGTCACGCCCATGCTGAACCCCTTCATCTATAGCCTCAGGAACAGAGACATAAAGGGCGCTCTGAGGAGATTCTCTGCAATGGCAGCTATAAAAGGGCTAATTGTCTTGGGCTGAAGAATTTCCCATGACTGCTGGCCTAAGAGATTTAGACTCAGAAGTTGTGATTTTTTTTTTTTAATTTTTTTTTTTCAACTTTTTTTTTTATTTATTTTTGGGACAGAGAGAGTCAGAGCATGAACGGGGGAGGGGCAGAGAGAGAGGGAGACACAGAATCGGAAACAGGCTCCAGGCTCTGAGCCATCAGCCCAGAGCCTGACGCGGGGCTCGAACTCACGGACCGCGAGATCGTGACCTGGCTGAAGTCGGACGCTTAACCGACTGCGCCACCCAGGCGCCCCAGAAGTTGTGATTTTTTAAGCAAATTCTGGACATAGAATTTGCTTCCTTATTTCCTGGAAGTTTTATTTTTTTTTTTAACTACTCAGTACAATTTAGTCAGTCATTTATTAAATTTTTCCCTCTCTCTGATATCCAACAATTTTCCCTTCATTTTCTTTCTTTATTTCTAAATTGATTCCCAACCTGTGATATGGAAAAATTAGGAATTCCCATTTATCTCATTGAATTGCTTGGGTTTCTTAAGAATAATTTCTTCCCAAATGACAAAAATCGCCCCTTTCAATATGTCTTTAGTTTTACTAAGAGAAGAGACATTTGTTACCATTCTGATGGAAAAATTCAATTTGGTAAGTAGGCCATTTGTTCCTATCCTATCCTATCTTATCCTATCCCATTCTATTCTATGCTATTCTATTCTATTCTATTCTAAATCTGAGACCACAGTTTTTCACTTTGTGTTTGCCATTCCTTTGTGTATCTCTACCTGCTCTTCCTGATGAACGTACTAGTGTGTTTCATAACAGGCCATTGGTTTTATTCTCCTAATTAGGATCCTGTTCTCTTCTGGCTGTATGGCTTCATGGCTGTATGTCACCATTGCTTACAATGTCACCATTGCTTACACAGTCGCTGGCAAACTGATTATCAAATACTTGTCTACCAGTGGAGTCTACACGGAAAAGGAAATTTGAATGAATAGAATGACTTAATATGCTCGTACCCCAATGTTTATAGCAGCACTTTCAACAATGACCAATGATGGAAAGAGCCTAAATGTCCATCAACTGACGAGTGGATAAAGAAATTATGGTTTATATACACAATGGAATACTACGTGGCAATGAGAAAGAATGAAATCTGGCCTTTTGTGGCAACGTGGATGGAAGTGGAGAGTGTTATGCTAAGTGAAATAAGTCATACAGAGAAAGACAGATACCTTATGTTTTCACTCTTATGTGGATCCTGAGAAACTTAAAACAGAGGACCATGGGGGAGGGAAAGAAAAAAAAAGGTTAGAGAGGGAGGGAGGCAAACCATTAGAGACTCTTAAAAAGTGAGAATAAACTGAGGGTTGACGGGGGGTGGGAGGGAGTAGAGGGTGGGTGATGGGTATTGAGGAGGGCACTTGTTGGGATGAGCACTGGGTGTTGTATGGAAACCAATTTGACAATAAATTTCATATTAAAAAAAAAGAATGACTTACTATGGCCTTCAAGTCAAAGATGACCTCGATTATGATAAAGCAAATTTTAAATTGTCCTTTGTATTAGTATGCACTACATTTCTTTTCAAGTTGTACATCTCCCAATCAAGTATGGAATACCGATGGCAATGTTTAAGAGCATTTGTTTGCTGGGGTGAATGATGGGCTAACCTGTTACAAGCAAAACACTTATAAATGAAAACTATAAAATATTGCTGAAAGAAATTAAAGAAGACATAAATAAATGGGATGGCATCCTGTGCTCCTGCTTTGAAATTTTAAGTTTTAAATTTAATTTCAGGATGGGCTTAAAAAATTTTCCCCAACCCCCCCATTTGTTATTTCCATAATGACATTCAATCTGTAGATTTTTTCAGTAGTGTTGCCATCTTAACAACTTTAATTTAATTTAAATTTCTTCTAACACAGAAGCACAACTTTGCTCTCAGACTGTGCCCCACAGACCAAGACCTGTAGCATCAACACCATGAGGGAGCTTGTTAGAGAAGCAGAGTTGCTAGGGTCCCTGGAGCCCTGATAAATCAGAATTTGCACTTTAACTACAGCCCCTGGTGAATTGTGTGCACAGTGAGGTTGGAGAAGCCTTAGTGTGGAGCAGGTTTTCTCACCTTCTCACCATTGACCCTTGAAACTAGAAAATTCTTTTTGTTGGGTGCTGTCCTGTGGATGAAGGTATTCAGCAGAATCCCTTCAGACATGGACAAATATCCGCAGAGCAATGACTCTGGTCGAGAACCACTTCCCAGAGTTTCAGAACAGGAAGCATCCTGACATAATTCCAATTAAGACTACATCCCTACTTGGTTTATGCCTTTGAACAGAATAAGAAAATCCTGTGAGCCCCATTTTTACAATATGGAGCTCATGAAAGTACTACTTCATAGATTGTACTTTTGTAAAAATTAAATCATAGAATTCCTTTAGTGTGCTCAGCTAGTCTATGCTGCATAAAATATAAATATGTCTTATCATTAATAAACACTCATCATGAAGGAATACATGACAGTTCTTATGATCTAAATAACTTGTGATCTAAATATGAAATTCCTAATTGTTTTGGCTAAACTATCACAAAGCCAAATAGTATTTTTCCTTTTAAAAAATGTATTTATTTAAGTTCAGTTCGTTAACACACAGTGCAGTATTAGTTTCAAGAAGAGAACCCATTGATTCATCACTTACATACAATTCTCATTGCTCCCCACAAGTGCCCTCTTTAATGCCCATCACCCATTTAGCCCATCCCCCCCAAACACCTCTCTAGCAACCCTCAGTTTGTTCTCTTTATTTATCTCTTACAGTTTGCCT